CCTTGCTGCCTCCTTTCTTTCTCTCTCCTGGGCATAGAACGGGTGTGTGTGTGGGGGGGGGGTGTGGGGTGGTTCTTCCCAGCCAGTTTTTTGGGGGAACAGGACATGTGTGTGGTGCGTGTGCGTGTGTGGTGTGTGTGTGTGTGTGTGTTTCTCTCTCCTGGGCACAGAATCGGGGTGGGATGTGGTTCTTGCCAGCCAGTTTTCTGGGTGAACAGGACATCTGTGTGATGCCTGTGTGTGTGTGTGTGTGTGTGTGTGTGTGCGTGCGCGTGCGTGCATGCAGTGTGTGTGTGTGTGTATGTGTGTGTGTGTTTCTTTATTTCTCCTGGGCACAGAACGGGGATGGGGTGTGGTTCTTCCCAGCCAGTTTTCTGGGTGAACAGGAGATGTGTGTGATGCATGTGTGTGTGTGTGTGTGTGTGTGTGTGTGTGTGTGTGTGTGTGTGTTTCTTTCTCCTGGGCACAGAACTGGGGGCGGGGGGGGGGCGTTGTGGTTCTTCCCAGCCAGTTTTCTGGGGGAACAGGGCATGTGTGTGGTGCGTGTGTGTGCGTGTGCTATGTATGTGTGTGTGTGTGTGTGTGTGTGTGTGTGTGTAGACCAGCAGGTAACCGGGATGGAATGGGGGGTGTAGATGGCCTCTGCCTGTCCTTCTGATGTGATCCACTTTACAGATGCTAATGTCTGCGCTCCGCTGAGGCACAAGAGAGTCGCCCCTGCAGTTCCTTGCCCCAGAGTGTCGCTGGGGGTGGGGGTGGGGGGCAGGGTGGGGGAGGGGCCCAGCGGTGGGTCCGGCAAGTGCGAAGAGAACTAGGGGCTGGTGCGACGACGACGTTCGAGGAGGGAACCTCCGGGAGCCGGGACAGACAGACAGGCAGGGGAGCAGGGACAGACAGACAGGCAGGCAGACAGACAGGCAGGGACCCTGCCTGTCAGGCCGGGGTTGAGGGGGGAGGGGTGGGGAGCTGATGAGGACCCGGGAAGGAGAGGGAGAGGTGGGGCGTTGGTGGGCTGGTCCTGATGTCACCGCCAAAGTTACAACTAAAGGAAAAAACACGGGAATGTCTCAACCTTTTTTTTTTCTTTTTTGGGTGAAACTTTGGGCTGCTAAGAGCTGAAGGGGGAAGAGAGAGAGAGAGAGAGAGAGAGAGAGAGAGAGAGACAGAGAGACAGAGAGAGACAGAGACAGAGACAGACAGAGAGAGATAGAGAGACGGAGAGAGACAGAAACACAGAGACAGAGGCAGAGACACAGAGAGCTAGAACAGGGAGAGAGAGACACAGAGAGAGAGAGAGAGAGAGAGAGAGACAGAGAGGAAACAGAGACACAGAGAGAGAGAGAGACGGAGAGAGAGCGTGAGAGCAGGGGGAGAGAGAGAGACAGAGAGAGAGACAGAGAGAGAGGAGAGACAGGCAGGCGGGCCAGGCAGGGAGGAAGGTTGACCTGGAAGCGGAGTTGTCGGTGGCGTTTGAATGGGTCACTGACCCGAGCGGGGCCACCCGAGGGGCCGCGGGAGCATCTGCCCCCAGATGGGGCCCTCAGCACGTTGCCTCAACCCTCCTCTGTGCCGGCCACCGGGGCTGAAGTGCATGGTAGGAACCCCTTCTCCGCAGGGCGGGCTGGGGGTGTCTGAGGGAGGAGGCGCGCCCCCTTCCTCACCTGAGCGACTTCCCTGCCTTTCTCGAGAGCCTCCTAGTCCCCTCCCTCCTCTGCCTCCCGGGATGCCGCTGGCCCTGGCTGGATTCGCTCCACCTCCCCCTCACGCTCTCCCAAGTCCAAATCTCTCCTGAGCTGCCTCAGAACCGGGAGAAAAAAAAGAGAGAAAAGAGTTACTGAGTCAGAAGGGAAGGGAAATGGGGAACCAGGGTCCATGCAGCACGGGGTGGTGGGGGTCTGTGTACAGCCTCACCTACATGCCTGTACCGTTCTCCTCCGGGGCCGGCGCGTGGCGGGGGTGTGTGTCTGGCTTGGAGGGGGTCCGTGGTGCTGCCCCGGGTACCCTGGAGTATGGGGGAAAGGGAAGGTGTCAGTCCAGTTGGGCTCCCTGGAAGAGGAGGACCAGGGCAGCTAGAGCTGAGGGAGAGATGCCAGTTCCACGTGGACACGGGGAGTCCTGAAGTCCCCCCCCCACACACACAACACCCTCTGCATATGATCCCCCAGTCCATGCAGTTAAGCATTCTTACCCGTGCTGGCTTTAGGTGTACAATGCAGTTTGAGTGTTAGGTGTGCAATAATACAGTGTGTGTGTTAGGTATGCAATGCAGTGTGTGTTAGGTGTACAATGCAGAGTGTGTGTTAGGTGTGCAATGCAGTGTGTGTGTTAGGTGTGCAATGCAGAGTGTGTGTTAGGTGTACAATGCAGTGTGTGTGTTAGGTGTGCAATGCAGTGTGTGTGTTAGGTGTACAATGCAGAGTGTGTGTTAGGTGTACAATGCAGAGTGCGTGTTAGGTGTACAATGCAGTGTGTGTGTTAGGTGTGCAATGCAGTGTGTGTTAGGTGTACAATGCAGTGTGTGTGTTAGGTATGCAATGCAGTGTGTGTTAGGTGTGCAATGCAGTGTGTGTGTTAGGTGTGCAATGCAGTGTGTGTGTTAGGTGTACAATGCAGTGTGTGTGTTAGGTGTACAATGCAGTGTGTGTGTTAGGTATACAATGTAGTGTGTGTGTTAGGTGTACAATGCAGAGTGTGTGTTAGGTGTACAATGCAGTGTGTGTGTTAGGTGTACAATGCAGTGTGTGTGTTAGGTATGCAATGCAGTGTGTGTGTTAGGTGTACAATGCAGTGTGTGTGTTAGGTGTACAATGCAGTGTGTGTGTTAGGTGTGCAATGCAGTGTGTGTGTTAGGTGTACAATGCAGAGTGTGTGTTAGGTGTGCAATGCAGTGTGTGTGTGTGTGTGGGGGGGATAGATCCCATTGAGGGGGTCACACCTCCATGCAGACATTTCTCAGGTTCAAACACACACAGCCCCCCTGCCGCCTGCACCATGCACTTCCAGGCAGTGCCTCAGAAATCGAGGTGCCCGGGTTTGGCGCTCAGCCCCCATTTGAGGGGCTGCTGTGGCCGCCCCCGGTGCCTGGGGGAAGTGGAGAGAAGGAAACTCCGTGGGGCTGTGCCCGGTTCCAGTGGGTCCCTGCCAGGGCAGAGGGGAGGGGCAGCCGCCGACAGGGGGGGCAGGGGAGAATCCTCCCTCCATCTCCGGAGCCCATTGGGAAGTGACCTGGGGGGGTGCGGGGCGGGGGGGGGGGGGGAGGTGCGAAGGGGAGGTCCTTTCAGGCCCCAGGGATAGAAATCGGGCGCTAACCCTTACAAGGAAGGGTCTGGCCCCAGGAAAGGAAGAAATTCCTGGCAGGGTTGGTGTGGCTTCTTTGGTGTCTGTGTGTGTGTGTGTGTGTGTGTGTGTGAGAGAGAGAGAGAGAGAGAGAGAGAGGAGAGGGAGAGAGAGAAGAGAGAGAATTGAGAGAAAGGAGAGAGAAGAGAGAGGAGAGGGAGAGAGAGAGTGAAGGGGAGAGAGACAGAGAGACAGAGAGAGAGACAGAGAGAGACACAGAGAGAGAGACAGAGAGAGAGAGAGAGAGGAGAGGGAGAGAGAGAAGAGAGAGAATTGAGAGAAAGGAGAGAGAAGAGAGAGGAGAGGGAGAGAGAGAGTGAAGGGGAGAGAGACAGAGAGACAGAGAGAGACACACAGAGAGAGACACAGAGAGAGAGACAGAGAGAGAGAGAGAACACTCTCTCTACCAGCCCTCCTGATGGTTGGGTATTGATCCCGGATTCCAGGGCTGCAGATCAGAGGAGCTGGAATGTGGAGGGGTGGGGGACTGGGGCAGAGGAGCTGCTGTCTCCTGGTGGGTCGAAGGAGGGGACCACCTTGAGGATGCTTCCGACTCACTAACTTTGACATCTCGGCTGTCTGCCTTGGCTGGGGTGACTGCTCCAAGCAGGCAGGGTGGGGGAGGGGAGAAGTGCGGGGTGGGGGGACCTCCACACCCCACCCCGCTGGCTGGCTGTCCTCTTCCCCTATCTCGCTCTTCGGGACCCAGGAGACTCCCCCAGAGGTGAGGACAGCCGGTGAGGCCCCCCTCAGGGCCAGGGACGCCCCGACAGAGACAGGCCATGCACCCACAAATTAGAAGGGAAGGGAAAAAAACCCAATCCACCCTCAGTTTACCATTCCAGACTATGGAGAGGGGAGCAACTTGGATGGGGTCTGGATAGGGAGAGTTTAGAGCCGGGCTGGGTCTACTGGGGGAAGTGGGACCCTTCCACCCCCCACCCCCCACTGATTCTTTTTTTTTTCTTTTTTTTTTTCCCTTTCTGGGTCCCACCCGGCAATGCTCAGGGCTGACTCCTGGCTCTGCACTCAGGAATCACTCTTGGCCTGGTGGCGCTCTAGGGGGACCCTATGGGATACTGGGAATCGAACCCGGGTCGGCCCGGTGCTAGGCCAATGCCCCCCCACACACACACATACTGATTCTCTCTGTTGTTCTTAGAGGCTGAACCTCTCTGTGCAGGTGCTCAGAGCGATTTTGGTGGTGGGTCTGTGTGTCGGGGGCAAGGGAGGACTCTGAGGAGAAGCATTTTGGCTGGAGGAGGAGGAGGAGGAGGAGGAAGAGGAGGAAGAGCTTGAGGGAGACTGAGCCCCCCCCTCCGGGCTGCAGGTAGCCCAGGGCAGGGGCGGGGCCTGCCTCCCTCCCTCCTATCAGCAGGGGAGGGGTGCAGGGGAGGGGTGGACCAGGAAGGGGGGTGGCAAGTAGCCCGTAAATATAGGGAGCAGCAGGCCAGACCCAGTTTCCTTCTTCCAAGGACTGACCTAAGGGCCAGGAGTCTGCCCGGCAACCTCCACACCGCCCAGAGCACCCACCCGTCGGACAGAGCCGGGTGCCCGGCCGTGAGGGACCCAGCGCCCTCTGCCAACCACCCCCGACCCTCCACCCGGTGGCAGGGGGCATCCAGAGAATTGACTTGGGGTGCTGCGGCCAGAGGCAGGCAGGGATGCCTCTCCGCCGGGCCCTGAAGGTGAGCCTGTGGATGCTGGCCACGGGGACACTCCTGGCCGCCGGCCACCAGCCCCACAGGACACGCAAAGGGTCCTTGGTGCAGAGGGAGCCCCGCAGCGAGGGGTCAGCTGAAGGCCATGGCTGTTGGCTGGGCGGCCGGGGACACGGTCCCCGAGGTGCCCCTGCAGGACACCTCTTCGGGGTGTATCCCAGCACCCCTCGGGACTCCCTGAGGCCCTATGCAGCCCCGCTGAGCAGACAGGCACTTTCTGGTGGCCCCTCCTGGGACTTGTCAGCGCCCAAGGACCCCGGACTGGACACTGGTCGGGCCAAGAGCCGACGGCAGCGCCCGGTGGCGAAGGGGCGAGACCACCCTCGCCGGCCACCCCACCCACGGCCGAGACGAGCACTGCAGGCCGAGTCTGCGCCCACGGCCCCCCCGGGAGGAGTCCCTGTCCTGTACTTCTCTGGGAGGCCCGAGAGGCTGCTTCTCCGTGCCGAGGCGCTGGCCAGCGTCCCCCGGGAAGCGTTCACGGTGGAGGTCTGGGTGAGGCCCAGCGGAGGTCAGAACAGCCCAGCCGTCGTGGCAGGTAATACTCCCCCCCACACCCCTGCACCGTCCAGCACACTCCCCAGGCACCTGGGTGGGGGGCTTGCTTCATTTCTGGTGGGCTCAGATCCGGGGAGCAGGAAGGGGGAGAGGCCGGAACCCCAAAAAGCCAGACAGAGCTGGCCAGGGCATGCCCGGGGGAGGCAGGTGTTTCTCCACCGTTCTGGGGGGGCTACTTGCACGACCGGGGCTTCATCGCTTTCAGGGGCAGGGGGTCTCTGACCACGACAGCGCTTAGCAGCCCTCCCGCCCCACTGGTGACCCGCTCTTTAAAGAGGGACGCAGACCCCAGCTCCTGTGTCCAGGGCAAGAGGCTCATTTCTCTGGAAAGCAGCTGTTGGGAAAAATGGGGCCCAGGTGCCCACTTTGGGGGATGCTTTTCTCTGAGCTGCTGTAGGGAGCTTCCGTGCCAGCCAGCCCTGGACTCCCCCTCTGATCTGAAGTCACAGCCAGTGGCGGGGCTCAGGGATGATCCCTGGCTCTGAGCTCACTCAGGGATCTCTCCTAGTGGGGCTCGGGGGACCCTATGGGATGCTGGGAATCGAACCCGGGTCAGCCTCTTGCAAGGCCAACGCCCTCCCTCTGTGCTTCTCCTTCTGGTCCCTCACTTGTGGTTCTTTTATTTTTATTTTTTTCACTTTGGGTCACACCCCAGCGATGCACAGGGCTTCCTCCTGGCTCTGCACTGAGGAATTATCCCTAACGGTGCTCAGGGGACCCTATGGGATGCTGGGAATCGAACCCGGGTTGGCCGCGTGCAAGGCAAACGCCTTCCTTGATGTATTATTGCTCCAGCCCTTGTATCACCTTTTAAACACCATGATACTTTGTATCACCCATTAAACACTATGATACTTTGTATCACCTTCAAAACACTATGACTTTGTATCACTTTGTCTTTTTTTTTCCTTTTTGGGACAACCCTGAGATGCACAAGGGCTACTCCTGGCACATGCACCCAGGAATCACTCCTGGCGGTGCTCGGGGGATCCTATGGGATGCTGGGAATCGAACCCAGGTCGGCCGCGTGCAAGGCAGACGCCCTCCCCATTGTGCTATGGTTCCAGCCCCTCACTGTGATTCTTACACTCAGTTATAGGGGGGATTCTGGGGGTGACTGAATGCTCTTCTGCTAGATCTATTCTGGGAGGCAGCTACCCTGGTTGTTCCACTTTTGTTTTGGATGACAGGGGACCTCCTTGGACTTGCGTGTGTCTTCGTCTTTTTTTTGTTTTATTTTTTTGTTTTTTGGGTCACACTCGGCAATACTCAGGGGTTCCTCCTGGCTCTGCACTCAGGAACTACTCCTGGCGGTGCTTGGGGGACCCTATGGGATGCCGGGAATCGAACCCGGGTTGGCCGCGTGCAAGGCACACGCCTTCCTTGATGTATTATTGCTCCAGCCCTTGTATCACCTTTTAAACACCATGATACTTTGTATCACCTTCAAAACACTATGACACTTTGTATCACTTTGTCTTTTTTTTTCCTTTTTGGGACACACCCTGAGATGCACAAGGGCTACTCCTGGCACATGCACCCAGGAATCACTCCTGGCGGTGCTCGGGGGACCCTATGGGATGCTGGGAATCGAACCCAGGTCGGCCGCGTGCAAGGCAAATGCCCTCCCCGCTGTGCTATTGCTCCGGCTGCCCCCTTCTGCCTTTCGGACCGTGTGCTTGCAGTGTAGACAATTGTGCCCATCCAGTGGAGACCTCCGGGTCTCCCCTTGTCCCTCCTTTGGCAAAAGCCACAGCTGGACCTGGTGTTTCCTGGAGAGAGGAGCCTAGGAGTAGGATGTGTGTGTGGTGGGGGGTGGGAGCCCTGCCTTAGGGGTGCTGACCTGGAAAAGATGCCCAAACGCGGAGTGCTGGAGGGGTCTGAGACTCCCTCCATCAAGCCCCTCTTTCTCTGCTGCCTTGTCCACCCCTCCCCCACCCCGCATTTCCCCCACCTCCCACTCCCCAAAGTGCCCAGAACGAAAGCACAGTGAGGAGGGCATTTGCCTGGCACGCGGCTGACCTGGGTTCCTCCACCCCTCTTGGAGAGCTCGGCCAGCTCCCAAGAGTATCCCGCCCACATGGCAGAGCCTGGCAAGCTCCCCGGGGCATATTCGAGATGCCAAACAGAGTCACAACAAGTCTCACAATTTGTTGTGAGATGTTACTGGTGCCCGCTCGAGCAAATTGATGAACAACGGGAGGACAGTGTGACAATGCTATTATTATTATTGTTATTATTATTATTATTGGGCTGGAGTGATAGCACAGCGGGTAGGGCATTTGCCTTGCACGCAGCCGACCCGGGTTCGATTCCTCCGTCCCTCTCGGAGAGCCTGGCAAGCTCCCGAGAGTATCCTGCCCGCACCGCAGAGCCTGACAAGCTCCCTGTGGCGTCTTTGAGATGCCAAACACAGTCACGACAATTCTCACCATGGAGACGTTCCTGGTGCCCGTTCGAGCAAATTGATGAACCATGGGACAACAGTGCGACAGTGTCCAGAACCTCAGAGCCTGCCGAGGCCACCCAGCTGTGCTTCCTCCTTCTCCAGACCTGGTGGTCTCAGGGCAGGCGGTATCCAGAGGGTCCCCCAGGAAGGATGCTGGGGACCCCCCAAGGTGCTGTCCAGGGACACTCAAGGGAGTGAGCCCGGGGAAGTGGGGGGCTGCTTTCCAAGCTTTCCTCCTTCAGGGTTCAGGCATGGGGACCCCAAGCAGGGGGTCCCCACTGTCTTCCTGACCTCCAGACCCCCCTAGAAGCCCCCTTCCCTCTCCTGTTCAAACTCCAGACTCTTTCTGGTTTCCCAATAGAGTCAGCCCAGCTTCAGGGGTACTGGGAGGGCTTGTGCCCGTCCATGTCACTAGGTGGCGCTGTTGTCCAGCACAAGGTAGCTGGGCCTTGGGGGTCGCCACGTGGGACCTGGTCCCAGGGGGCCTCGACCTGTTCCCCTCCCGGACTCCACCCACCAGGGGGTCCCCACCTGCCTGTCATTCCGCAGGGCACAGGGGCATTTGAGGAGGAGGGCTATGCATGTGTGTGTGTGTGTGTGTGTGTGTGTGTGTGTGTGTGTGTTAGACAGACAGACAGACAGAGACAGAAGAATTTGCACTTGGAGCAACATGGGAAACTCAGTGACTTCCCCCAGACGCGCACATTCTTCCAAAATAGGGTTTGGGTGGGATGGTGGAATGTTCTGGAGGGCCAAGGACACCAGGCTACAGGCCTGAGGGGCTGGCACGCAAGGAGGAGGGGGAGGGGGTGGGGGAGGAAGGAGATCAGGCAGGTGCCCGCTGCCATCACTGCAGGAGGGAGTTGGGGGCACTGTGTCCAGGTTCTGGAACCTGGAACCCCACCTGGTTCTTCCCTTGCTCTTCTCTCTCTCTCTCTCTCTCTCTCTCTCTCTCTCTCTCTCTCCCTCCCTCTCTCCCTCCCTCTCTCCCTCCCTCTCTCTCCCTCTTTCTCCCTCTCTCCCTCCCTCCCTCTTTCCCTCTCTCTCTGCCTCTCTCTCTCCCCCTCTCTCTCCCTCCCTCCCTCTTTCTCTCTCTTTCTCTCTTCCCCTCCCGCTCTCCTTTTTGGTACTGGAGCCACACTCTGTGATGCTAGGGCTGACTCCTGGCTCTGCACTCAGGAATTACTCCTGGCGGTGCTCAGGGGACCCTATGGGATGCTGAGGATCGAACCCGGGTCGGCCGCGTGCAAGGCTAACGCCATGCCATTGTGCTATCGCTCCAACCCCTCTCTTCTTGACCGCTGTGGCATGGCACAAGCACAGAGACTGACCCAGCTAAGGTGGGGTGACCTGAGACTCCATTTCTTTTTTTTGGTTTTGAGGTCACACCCAGTGATGTTCAGGGCTGACTCCTGGCACTGCATTCGGAATGACTCCTGGTGGTGCTCAGGGATGCCGGGGGTTGAACCTAATTTGACTGACTGCCAGGCAGATGCCCTACCCACTGTACTATATCTCTGGCCCACCCAGACACCTTTTCTAAGGGGGCCACCAGGCTGCCTGGAGCAGGGGTGACCAATGTCTTCTGTCCCACAGAGTCAAGGTGAGTTTGGTTTTGAGGACCCAGACATCTCTGTTACAACTGCTCCACCATTGAAACTTGTTTCTGGCCCTGCAGCTCATTGCTGTGTCAATAAAGCTTTATTTATTTATTTATTTTTGCTTTTTTGCGGGGGGTCACATCTAGTGATGCACAGGGATTACTCCTGGCTCTGCACTCAGGAATCACTCCTGGCGGTGCTTGGGGGACCCTATGGGATGCCGGGGTTTGAACCCGGGTCGGTCGTATGCCAGGCAGATGCTTTATAAGCTGTACTATCACTCCGGCCCAATAAAACTTTATTGACAAACAAAAGAGGAGCAGAGCAGATGCAGTGACCAGGGGCCAAGGTATGGAGACTTCTGCCTGTGTGCATCTCCTGCCGTCCTCCGTGGTCGTGTGTGTCCGTTTGGGGGCTGTCTGGGATAAGCCAACAGAATCTGTGATAGTTTATCAGCCCAAGTGATGCCGGTCTAGGAAACATCACGTAGGAAACACGTTTTGCTAGTTTTTTTTTTACCAAGAACAATTTTATTTTATTTTTTTAGATTTTTATTAGTGAAACACCATGAGGTACAGTTTAGATTTACAAATTTTTGTGCTTGGGTTTCAGTTATACAATGATCGAATACCCATCCCTCCACCAGTGCCCATTTTCCACACCACGGATCCCAGTATCCCTCCCACCCCCATCCCCCCCGTCCCACCCTGTCTCTGTGGCAGGGCATTCCCTTTTGTTCTCTCTCTCCTTTTGGGTGCCGTGGTTTGCAAAAGAGGCATTGAGTGGCAATCATGTTCGGTCTATAGCCTACTTTCAGCATGCTTCTCCCATCCTGGGAGGATCCTCCCAACACCCTTTATTTGGTGCTCCCTTCTCTGTCTGAGCTGCCTTTTCCCCTAGCATGTGTGGCTGGCCTCCAAGCCATGAAGCAAAATTCCTGGTACTAATCTCTGCTATTCTTGGGTGTTAGTCTCCTATTTTGTTACTTTATGTTCCCCAGATGAATGCAATCTTTCTATGTCTGTCCCTCTCTTTCTGACTCATTTGCTTTTAATATGATACTTTCCATGTAGTACCACTTGTATGTAAATTTCATGACTTCATCTTTTCTAACAGCTGCATAGTACTCCATTGTGTAGATGTACCAAAGTTTCTTTAACCAGTCATCTGTTCTCGGGCACTCAGGTTTTTCCCAGATTCTTTGCTAGTTTCTTAAGAGTGGTCCTTGGGGTGGACATTTTGCTTCTCTGCCTGTTTGTTTTTCCAAGGAGTTTACAAATTCCTGGGATAGGGCTGGAGCGATAGCACAGCGGGGAGAGCGTTTGCCTGGCACGTGGCCAACCCGGGTTCAATTCCTCCGCCCCTCTCGGAGAGCCCGGCAAGCTACCGAGAGTATCCCGCCCTCACAGCAGAGCCTGGCAAGCTCCCCGTGACGTATTCAATATGCCAAACACAGTAACAACAAGTCTCATAATGGAGACCTTACTGGTGCCCGCTCAAGCAAATCGATGAACCACGGGACGGCAGTGCGACAGTGACAGTGTTAGAGGTGGGATATTATTCCCAGTGGGATAAAGACTCTGGTCTGGCCGGCGTCTGGGTCCCCCAAATTCTGCTTCAGAGCTTTCCTGCCTTCTCCCAAAGTCAGACTGAGTTAAGTGAACCAGAACTTCAGAGTCGATTCCCATGGGCTGGTGGCCAGATTCTTAGCAGAGAAGCTGGTTTTGGGGTCCTCAATGACTGGAGAATGGGGGGTCACTGAACTCTTTGTGGAAACCCCACACTCGACTCATCATCCTTCTCTCTCTCTCCCTCTCTCCTCTCTCCCTCTCTCTCTTCTCTTTCTCTCTCTCTCTCTCTCTCTCCCCTCCCCCCCCCACCCTGGCTGTGCCTCCTTCCTGCTGTCCCAGGGCTGTTTGATCACTGTTCCCACATGGAAAACGACAAAGGCTGGGCCCTGGGCATCCGCTCGGGCACCGAGGACGGAAAGCGAGACCCTCGTTTCTTCTTCTCCCTGCGCACTGACCGCGTGCCCGCGGCCACCGTCCTGCTCAGCCCCCACCGCGCCACGACCAGCCAGTGGACACACTTGGCGGCCACTTACGACGGCCGGAGAATGGCCCTGTACGTGGACGGCACCCGAGTGGCCAGCAGCTTCGCCCAGTCGGGGCCTCTGCACAGCCCGTTCATGGCCACCTGCCGGGCCCTGGTGCTGGGAGGCGACAGCTCCAAAGGTGGCCACTGCTTCCGCGGCCACCTGGCCACGCTGGCCTTGTGGTCGGCCGCCCGCTCCCAGGAGCACCTTCGCGCCAACGCACAGCGACCCAGCGCCGGGGAAGAAGATTTGGCCACGTTGGTCCTGACGGGCAGCTTCGAGCCCTCGGCTGGCCAGTGGACAGCCTTCCGGGAGGACACGTCCCCGCAGTTTGAGGTCCTGCAGGCCCCTCGGCAGCCCGAGGTGGTGTCCCCGCTGCGCGCCCCGCGCTGCGGGCGCACGGCCTGCGACAACGTGGACCTCATCGGTCAGTACAACGCACGCGGGGCCCTGCGCACCCAGAAGACGGTGCGGTACCAGGTGGTCAACGTGTGCGATGACCGCGGTGGCCGGCCCACCGTGGGTGCCCGGCAGTTGGCCGCACAGCACCGTGCGCTCCTGGCCGCCTTCGGCCCCGCCAACATCACCTGGGAACTGCACGAGCTGCGAGTGCGGAACTCCACGCTGCGCGCGCGCACGGTGCTGGCGCGCTGCGAGCCGCGCCAGGTGGGCGACGGCCGCTGCGACCCCGAGTGCCGCCACCCGGCCACGGGCTACGATGGTGGCGACTGCCTGTTGCCCCGCCGCTGCCCGCCCTGGAAACTCCAGGACGGCGTGTGCCAACCTGAGTGTAACAACATCGCCAACGACTTCGACGACGGAGACTGTTGCGACCCCGACGGGACGGACGTGAGCAAGACCTGCTTCGACCCCGACTCGCCCTACAGGTGAGGGGGGCAGGGTGTTGGCCCACCTCCTTTATTCACTTTTTTTTTTATCTTTTTGGGTCACACCCGGTGATGCTCAGAGGTTACTCCTGGCTCTGCACTCAGGAATTACCCCTGGTGGTGCTCAGGGGACCCTATGGGATGCTGGAAATCGAACCCAGGTCAGCCGCCTGCAAGGCAAATGCCTTCCCCGCTGTGCTATCACTCCAATTCCTCTTTTTTTTTCAGATTTTATTTTGTTTTATTTTTATTAGCGAAACACCATGAGGTACAGTTGTAGATTTACAAACTTGAGTGCTTGGGTTTCAGTTATACAATGATCGAGTACCCATCCCTCCACCAGTGCCCATTTCCCACCACCACGGGTCCCAATATCCCTCCCACCCCCATCCCCCATCCCACCCTTCCTTTGTGGCAGGGCATTCCCTTTTGTGCTCTCTCTCCTTTTGGGTGTTGTGGTTTGCAATAGAGTCATTGAGTGGCCATCGTGTTTGGTCTAGAGTCTACTTTCAGCGTGCCCCTTGCATCCCAAGCGAATCCTCCAAACACTCTTTACTTGGTGCTCCCTTCTCCATCTGAGCTGCCTTTTCCCCCAGCATGTGCTGCTGGCTTCCAAGCCATGGAGCGAACCTCCTGGTACTTATCTCAACTATTCTTGGGTGTTCGTCTCCCATTTTGTTACTTTATATTCCCCAGATGAGTGCAGTCTTTCTATGTCTGTCCCTCTCTTTCTGACTCATTTCACTTAGCATGATACTTTCCATGTAGAATGACTTGTGTGCAAATTTCATGACTTCATCTTTTCTAACAGCTGCATAGTATTCCATTGTGTAGATGTACCAAAGTTTCTTTAACCAGTCATCTTCTCGGGCACTTGGGTTTTTTCCAGATTTTGGCTATTGTGAACAGTGCAACAATGAACATACAAGTGCAGATGTCATTTCAACTGTACTTTTTTGCCTCTCTGGGATATATTCCCAGGAGTGGTATTGCTGGGTCAAATGGGAGCTCAATTTCTAATTTTTTGAGACTCGTCCATACTATTTACTAAAAGGGCTGACCCAGGCGGCATCCCACCCCAGTGAAGGAGAGTCCCTTTCTCCCACATCCACGCCAACACTGGTTGCTTTTGTTCTTTTGGATGTGGGACCTTTATTTACCTGTTTATTGATTTATTTGGGGCTTGGAGGGGTGCCACACCCAGCAGTACTCAGGACTGACTCCTGGCTCTGTGCTCAGGGATTGCTCCTGGCAGGGTTCGGGATACTGTGGGATACTGTGGATGGAACCTGAGTTGGCCACATGCAAGGCGAGCTTCTTCCCTGCTGTCTTATTGATCTACACACCCTGCCTTCTATTCTTTTGACTTCTGTACCCAGCAAAACAGGTGGACATTCCCCCATGCCACCACTACAACCCCCTCTGCAGAATCTTCCTCTGCCCCAAGACCCACCATAGCTGTAGGGGAAAGTCCCCATTATTTTTTTCTTTTTTGGGTCACACCCAGCAATGCACAGGGGGTTTCTCCTGGTTCATGCACTCAGGAATTACTCCTGGCAGTGCTTGGGGAGCCAGATGGGATGCTGGGAATCGAACCCGGGTCAGCCACATGCAAAGCAAACTCTCTCCCTGCTGTGCTATTGCTCCAGCCCCAATTGTTTAAATTGCACGTTTTAATGTGCAATTACTACTGCACATTTCCTACCATGAATGACCCCAGTTTCCCTCCTATACTCCATGGCAGTCACTTTTTCTTCTCTCTCTCTCTCTCTTTCTCTCTCTCCTTGGACATTCACTGTATCACTGTATCACTGTCATCCCGTTGTTCATCGATTTACTCGAGCGGGCACTGGTAACATCTCCATTCATCTCAATCCTGAGATTTTATTTTTTTATTTATTTTTTTGCTTTTTGGGTCACACCCGGCAATGCACAGGGGCTACTCCTGGCTCTGTGCTCAGGAATTACCCCTGGTGGTGCTCAGGGGACCATATGGGATACTGGGAATCGAACCTGGGATGGTCTTGTACAAGGCAAGCACCCTACCCGCTGTGCCATTGCTCCAGTTCCATCAGCCCTGAGATTTTCACAGCCGCTCCTTACTCGTCCTTCCCAACGCTGCCGTATTGGAGGCTCCTTCAGGGTCAGGGGAATGAGGCCCGTTGTGGCGACTGTTTTTGCCATCTCAAATACGCCACGGGGAGCTTGCCAGGCTCTGCCGTGACATTATGGCTTGCAATACAGATACTGAGAGGTCGTCATGTCTCTCCCTTTACCTACTCTGCACACTCAGTTCTTGTCCGGATGATGATCCTTTCGAATGATCCAGAAGGATTTCAGAGCCAAACCGGCTGACTCCCAGAAACAGCAGAAAGCTTCACATTCTATTGACCCTGGTCCTGAGCTGGGGAAAAAAAACAAAACAAAACAAAACACTCTACCCGGCAACCCAGTGTGTATATGTGTGTTTATTTATGAATATGTGCAAACCTCCAAGTTTCCCAATCCAAACACTCTTAACAGCCTCGGAGGCATACCAGTGGCCTCCCTCTCATCTGAAACAGAGTCTGGTTAGCAACTCACGACATTTATTTCATAACTTAATAATGGGTGCCAGCCCTGAGTTGGAAAAATTGCCCCGGGGCGCCCCCCAAACATTCAGTTGACCACACAGGCATGCGAATGGGATGATTCCTCCAGGCTTTTTTCACCGTTTGACAAAAATAGCCAAGATGACCCTCAGTGGTGGCCTTTGCACATTTATCATACGGAGTGTGACAATTATTATACCTTCTTTCCGGTTTTCTGGTTCCAGCTTTTTTTTTTTTTCACCTCCCTTCATTTCCTGTTTTCCACTCAACTTTCCTCAGTCCCTTGGGTTTGGAAATGAATTCTTCCTGGGTTTGTTATTTTTTTTTTATTGTTTCTTTTTTTGAAACTTTAAAAAATATATATATAATCATTTCAGGACTGACCTTTCCATGTTAATTCCTGTCTTCCCTTGCTATTGTTCTATGCTGAAGTTTAATGGAGAAGAATGAACAATTTCTGTGGGGCTGAGTTTTCATTCGAGAATAATTCGATTAGATGACAAAGTGGCAATATGGATGGTTCGCACAGCCACCTCGGGTAGTGCAGCCAAATGTCCCAAGTTAACCTGACATGATTAGCAGGAGGAAGGCCAGGAGACCCAGGGTCATAGAAGCACTGTCCTCCCGTTGTTCATCGATTTGCTCGAGCGGGCACCAGTAACGTCTCCATGGTGAGATTTGTTGTGACTGTTTTTGACATCTCAAAGACGCCATTGGGAGCTTGCCAGGCTCTGCCAAGAGGGCAGGAGATTCTCGGTAGCTAGCAGGGCTCTCTGAGAGGGACAGGGGAATCAAACCCGGGTCAGCTTTGTGCAAGGTAAATGCCCTACCCGCTGTGCTATCGCTCCAGCCCCCACTGAGTCCACTTCTTAATGTTAGTTATTTTTGTATGGACACAGTAAGAAATACATTGAGGCTTGTAGGGCGGCTCTCCTGGTAACATCTTGCCACAGACTCAGACTACAGTACTCAGGCCAGATTAATCTTTCCTAACCCTAGCAGGGTTCGAATCCAGTTATCGCTTTTTGGATCGTGACAGCATTTGTCCATGATCAAACTCTTAACTTATAGTTAAGCATGATGGCGCTTTGCCAGGCCCATTTCGATACCCCGGTAGCACATAGCTCACTGCTTGCCCTGGGTTCGTCCAGTGCCATCCCGGGACCCTGCTTTTGGGGTGCTAGGAAGTAAGGGCAACTGAGGCTTAAGTCGAGAGAACAGATGTCCAGGAGGTAAACATCATTCAGAGTCATCATTAACTCCCAAGTTACAAAAGCGTAGCATTGACTGTCTTCCTGTGTCTATACAAAAGGGACATTGGTCTGAATTAACTCTGCAAAGGACTTAAGGAGAAGAGAAAAACAATATTTACCATTTAACAGAGCACAAAGAAAGAAGGTATAAGTAAACACAGTGGGATGGGAGCACTGTGATGGGAGTAACTCAATAAACTTAAGCTCCCTATGGCACGGCAGAAAGGACAAACCAATGTTACCCTAAATCAGTACATCAAGGATAAATAGCACAGCCCAGCTCAACCTCTGTAATTATCCTTCTATCAGCAGTACCAGCTGTATCACTGTATCACTGTCATCCCGTTGTTCATCGATTTATTCGAGTGGGTGCCAGTATCGTCTCCACTCGTCCCAGCCCTGAGAAATTTTAGCCACCTCTCCTTACTCGTCTTTCCCAACGCTGCCATATTGGGGGCTCTTTCAGAGTCAGGGGAAAGAGACCCGTTATTGTTACTGTTTTTGGCAGATTGAATACATCACGGGGAGCTTGCCAGGCTCTCATGTTTCACTCACACATTTTAGTAGTACCAACTGGCTCTGCACTGTACTGTCCTCCCGTTGTTCATCGATTTGCTCGAGCGGACACCAGTAACGTCTCACAACAAATTGTGAGACTTGTTGTGACTGTGTTTGGCATCTCGAATACGTCACGGGGAGCTTGCCAGGCTTTGCCGTGCGGGCGAGATACTCTTGGGAGCTTGCCGGGCTCTCCGAGAGGAGTAGTTCCAACGTGATGTGAAATTGTGAGATTGTGTTTGTGTGCATGTGAGTGTGTGTGTGTGTGTGTGTGTGTGTGTATGTGTGTGATGTAATTTGCCAATTAGCCCTATGCTATTAAAATTCTGAAAGTGGGTCTGGAGCGATAGCACAGTGGGGGAGGGTGTTGGCCTTGCATGCAGACGACCCATGTTCAATCAATCCTCAGCATCCCACAGAGTCCCCTGAACCCTGCCGAGAGTAGTTCCTGAGTGCAGAGCCAGGAGAAACCCCTCAGCGTCACCAAAATCCAAAAAAAAAAAAAAAACAAACAAACCAAACTCTGGAAAGGGGAAAGGTATCACTGATTCATTGGTACCTTTGTTTTCTAGAGCCAGAGTAGGACAGAGTCTTATAC